GATTGTTAAAAATAATCGTGCGAAAATGTTTACGATTTAATTCCATTTTTTGGCCGAGATGAATATTTTAAGTTAATATAAATAACTGTCGTATGTCAAAACGTTCTGACTATGTATAACATCAAAAATGTCAAACTTGACGATAAAGTTGTCAGTTGCCAGACTGCAACACTAGGGTTGTTAAATTCCGAAAGCTTGAAAACAATCGCATGTGTAAATTTTTTAGTTTCACCAATATCAATAGATTAATTTCATAAGTAAGGAAGCCCTCAGTTCGGGTTTGTACTGTCGCAATTTCCAAGCATCGGAGAAATAACTTCGGCAATCATTATTTAACGAAAGCCTGTGAGTAATGCAATAATTTTTCATATATTATTAATTTATATTATAATTTCATTACTAAGAAGAAGATTAAGAAAGTATGTGCTGTGAGTGAGAAATCATTACATCGGGTTGTGGTGAATTTGGTCCGGATGGATTGCACTTATTTTTGACATTATTCAAGTATACTAGGAAACGGGTTTCCATGCAATTTTATGAATATAATTCGCACACTGACCGGCAGACCGGTATAAAGCCTGCTAGAAGAACAAATATCCTTTACATGTAGCATGTGGGGGTTTCACACACTATTGATATTAAACTATAATATATCCAATATTATACGTTCATTGAACTTTGCTAAGATATCTTACATATTGATCGATAATTACATAAAAAGCCCTGCGGAAGTGTTAATTTATATTAAGTATAGCCTCATTAGCGACATACTATTACCAGAAAACGGTGTTCGCAGACTTCCATTAAAATCCCTCATATTGACAAGTGTCTAACCGATGCCTAATACTGCCGATGGCGATACTGATTAATCGCTCAGTTGACAAAGAATCGGCCGATATTGATGCAAATTAAAAAAAAATATTATTAGTTATCTTTTCATAAATAAATATTTACCAAAAAAACTATGCATTACAATAGTTTGCTCTAAAATATGTTTCTTATTTATTATAAAACTAATAATATTTTCAAAAATATCTTAGAAGATTCCGACCGTTCAGTTTCGACAAATGAGCAGCTTCTTGAAGAGAAAATGACGTTTACAACATTTCAAAACGATATCCTAAAAACTGAAGGACTACTTATATCGAGCCTTTACCGCCATTTTAGCGTAAGCGACAAAAACCAAACTTTACAGGAGAAGGTTTTTTTAAAATACTTTTAACCATTAATGTGGTAGTAATTTAAAATTTCTCATACATTAATGCTTTTCAGACATTTACATATATAATTGAAAAAAATAAAATAAAATTAATAAGTATTTATGCTATTTATGGCGCTTACATTTTTTTTT